CCGTGCCACATGAAATACGTGGTAACTTGATATCACGGAAACTGCTTACCGGAAGTGGTCGAAGTGTTGGCTACTCTGCGATATTATTAAAGTTATCGTGATCTGTAAGTTTCATTGCAATCGGTTGATAATTGCAGTGCGGAGACTTACAAGTGGCAAATATCCTCCGAGTTGTCTTAACGCATGTGGCAAATAGCCCCAGCCTATCTGAAATACTGTTAACAACTGCAGACAATTGACAGAAAGGGAGATAACTCTCTAATACCGTTAATGGGCTCGGACTAGCAATTATTTGACCATTGACTTCAATGTTAAATGGCTGTTCACAGGCTGTAGCCTTTTGCTCAACATTCCGTAGTTCTAATCTTTATAGGCACAATGGGGACCACATTTGGCAATCTCCTCATCATAATTTTGTAGGGGGTTGACCGTTTAGATTTTTTGCTACGGGGATTTGAAGTTGACTGGGGTGAAAATCTCACTTCCGACACAATGATTGCTCTGCAGAAAGACACTTTACACCGCCTATCCCTCCGCTGTAATATCATCAGTATTACCCAAAACTGCTACGAAATTGCAAATTTGATCTCTTTTCTCCAATTCTAGACCAAAAATGCAGGAAGAGGGGAGAAAAAAATTAAGGGAAAAATTGTCTATTTAATAGAATTCCAAAATTCTGTATGTCCCATTGTGCATTTTGGTTTAAATCAACATTCAACCAATATCATATTCTTTGCCGAGGATGAAGGCATTGGTATTTGGTTTTCGCCAATATTTAATTTTATGTCGACATCACAATTGTTAGTATAAATAAAGCATTTACTTGACAATTATCACAATTTTCATCTGGTCCTAAATCGAGTTATTGTTATAAGCTTTCCATAAATGTATAGTTTTTTTAGTAGGGAGGACCTTAAAGCGGAATTGTGTTTCTAAGCAAGCTAGAAATCTTGGCTGCAGGCCTATTAATATTAGTTTTAAAGATCGAAAATTTTCGCTGATCTTATGTCCTTTCAATCAGAAAATATTTAGGTCCATTACAGACAATCTTACTATACCATTGTCTTTTTTAGGTAGTGAATTGGCCGAGATGAATGCACAAAAGTTAAACAATGCCCTTACATTGCTTTAATTCGAAATCAAATAGACAGGACTGGCTGCTACTCAAACACAATTTATGAGATCGGCTTTGTTGTGCAATCCATTTTAAAGAAATATATAAACCTTTTACCGAACTTTGCAGAGTGTAGGAAAGTGTTAGATGCAGTTAGGGAAAAGTTATCAATTTTATTGTCCTTGGTGCCGCGTCAAGAGAATTGATGGACGTTTATTGTTAAATCCAAAATTTTTTTCAAGCTAGCAAACTTACAAAGACATTCATAATAATAAATTGCCTGCGATTTGGAAAATATAATAACTATTGGCTGAAATAAAAGCCCCCGTCTGGATTATTACAGAATATAGAATACAATATCCTGATGTGGCACTAAATAGAATAATAACCATGCGTCCTCCTTGTGAACCAATAAGGTCACACCCAATTTATATAAGATTGTCAGGTTATTAGAGAATTAGAAAACGTCAATAGAAGATGAAATATAATTCCGGAATTAATTAGAGGAGCTATAGCTACCCAAGTTCAAGTTCTTTATTTATGTAAGCCATAAGACTGATCGGATATAATACAGTACATAGAACAAAAAATAACAAATATTATATACAATAATAGTCACAATAAATATGTATACATAACGACATAGACTTCAATAATACATTTCGTTTGGTTTCCGATAGAGATAGATATGCACCCAAGTTATTCAGTTCTTTAATATTTACAGTAATTGATTTATTATACAAAATAGAATAGGATTTCTATGATAATCGGACTTACCAGATTTTGTTCTAAATTCATTTAAACAATAGATAGAATAATATATGATTTTGAATATATAATTTACAAATTCAATATTACAATTACATTGACTAAAAAAACAATTTTTTTATGTACAGTTGAGTGATAAAAGTATTCTACAAATGAATTTTTTATAAATCCATAGCATGGATTTTCTACAGGCTGTTAAACAAGCTATTTTGATGATGAACATAATATTTTCAAAACCTCGTTGTTAAAATTAAATATCGAATATTCTAAAAAGAATTTTTTTTGATAAACTACTTGTATTATGTATTTTATTCTCCTAGTTATGTGTTAAACAAATATATAATTCTTTCAGTATATTTTATAACCAATATTTCTTATCTATATAACATCTCAATATTAGTTTAAGCTTTTATTTTGGGTAGCATGCAATTTCAAATGTGGATCTGTCGTAACATAATGTACTTGATACAATTATTGGTAACGTTTCATACTCCCAGTAAAGAGGAATTTCAACGTCTTCACCGGAATGAAATCCCCAAATTTCAGAACAAATCTTTTCTAGATTTTGTGTTTACTAAAAAGTTCCCAATGATACTTTGTCATATAGTATGTGTATCTCAGTTAAAAATCGCAAACTAACTGATAGGGTATGCCATCAGTAGAATATATTTTATCTGGGTAGTCTTAATCGTCAACCTGGATACAGAAAATGCGTCGCTTAAGCTACAGTAGTGGAATTCTTTATGAAATAGTTCACAAGATCGGGTTACGATTCGGGATTAATCTTAATCATTGAACGGATGGCAATAAGTCCCCCCTATTATTAGGCCAACCATTAGGCAACACAAATAAAATAAGTTGTTTCTCGGGCACCGCCCGCACGCAAAATTGGTTGCGCGTGCGGCCTATTTATTAGTCTTGATGAAAAATAAAAAATATGTAACGCCCGCCCGAACATCGATAAGCAAGTCATAAAAAAAATATGCCGCATGTATCTACATGCCCCATTCGTGAATATCCATTCAAATGTATTAAACTGATTCAGATGTAAACGCTCATTTACGGGTCTTTTTTTATTGATATCGAAAGAACCTCCATTTTTGTATCACGTGATTTTAATTACCTCCCCTTGTGAACTAGAATTTGATTCGTGTTAAACACCGAAAGTCATTGACAACAATGCAATGTATTTCAATCATTCGATCTTAATCGGCTCATTATTGCCGGCTTCAGTCGGTCCATGTTTGAAAAAATCCTACTTATAAAACAATGAATCGTAGAACGGGTTAATTATTATAACTTGTGGCTACGAATACGATACGATGATAGTCACCATACCTTAGTCAGAATCTGGGTCATTAGCACGTTTAACGGTAGTTTTGATAATCCGGAAAATAATAATTGGATTACACATTTGATGGTTTTACTGACGAGTTGTTAGTTAAATTTAAATAGTCATTCGATATAAACCCCAGATAGAACACCGAATATGCTGAGAAACACACCAAATATCCTGAGAAACAGTCATTTCACGAATCCCGATGACACGTGACATGCATTGGTTGGAATTAGGTCAATCATTATAAACCAGCGATACTAGATTTAGATCGAAGTGTCGTTTACCGTGATGATTATTTTTGATACACATGCTGACAGAGGCTTACTCTTTAAAATATTGTCGTTATTATGGACGGCTATTAATAGTCGTACGGAATTTTATTTTAAACCAATTTCAATTATGGTTGTCACCATTACCATTAGTAAGCTACATTACGTGAATTAAATATGGAAAATTATTTTCCTTTCAGTCAGTGTTCAGTGTTTGAGTAGACTTGATTTTTGGATTTATGTTCTAAGTATTTATAATATATAACTGAAAGCAAAACCGTAGACAAGTAATGACTTTCTCATTAAAAAAAAAAAAAATACAAGGCCGCCCTCCCGCCCCAACAATTTTCAACAATAGGCAAATTTTATTTTGCACCATCCTCTAGCCAGAAATGAGATAAAAAAAAAATAAACCGCCCTCCCCCCCTACAGTTTCAGCTGTCAGTTGCCCGAGAAACAAGACATTTATTTTGTGTAGCCTTAAGTCCGATTCCTTATTTTTAAAAATAGGCCAATTTGAATGTGATTTAAATCTCATGTAGATGGCTTAGCCAACGGTCCTCATTTCCGCTGTAGCGTATAATACTATATGCACCTACAAATAGAATAGTAAGTCCAACACTGGTTCCATGTGCACTGAAATTTTTGCATAGTTAAACAAAACGCATGGGTCAATATGTATACACTTAAAAAATTACCAATGGGTATAATACATATTGTCGTTCCATTACAATTACCACAAGATATTTTAAAGGAGAAGTCTCGGGATTTACGTGGAATCCGTTTCTAAAAGTGGTTTTAAATATTCACCAAAGGCCAACTGTGAAACTACGGTGTTGTTAAATAGATGATTTAACTATGACTTCCACGTTGTGTATATGATCAGTTAACTAAGGGACAACGTGTTTTATAACTATGTTTATACATCAAATACAAGAAACTACAACATCTATGATTGTACATTAGGAGTTATTATAATATCTACAGTCTGAGCTTAACAAGCCTAGAACTCAGACCTAACGGCTGAAACATTACATTGTCTCTATCCCAGCCTCGAATCAGAGGCTGGGTGTACCTCTTAAGAACCCGGCCTGATGTCGGCATCCCGATCTGTAAGCCAAGGCGACTAACGATAGGTCTCAGTAGGAAGCCCACATCATGACTGAAGGGAAATTTAATCCGGCGTCAGGTGCGCTAGCTATTAGGGCAGAGCAGTTATCAGTTTTGGGTATATATATACCATATTTGATTGGACTAATCTGTGCACAAGATAACTGGACGATAGTACCTACTTTGAGTAATTGATAATGGCACGAACTGTCTGTAACTAAGTCTAAGGAAGTTGAATCTTGCAAAATAACTACTTAGCCCATTTCTCGTTTTCACTCATTTGTTTAACCACTTCAACATATTAAACTGTGCACCTTTCATAGAACTAAAATACCCCCCCCCCCATAGTATTACAACATGTAAAGAAAAAGTTCGGAAGGCAAATTGTTCATAACAGGGTTACTTAACTCAGCATTTTACTGTTCAATGATAATTTTACAATCGTTCATTGTTCAATTGATACTTCCGGGTATCAATACAATAACTTCGGCAAGAACAAATGTCGCATATTATCGAAAATTGTCACACTAACGTTAACCTGTCCGTCTTCATTAGTACAAAATAGCAGGACGTTGAACACCATTTACACTGACCTGTATTTAACCATTTCGGTGCACTAAAATACATATGGGCAGATCTGATAACTTAAGTAAGTTAAGTAAAATGAATCATAAACAGAACTGAGTTTCAGTCATCATATAAAACACCCACAAATCATCAGGCGATGGCAGGGGAGGCTGCAAAATACCGTTAATTAAACCACAGTTGAAAGCTGCCCCTGGGCTATTTAGATAATTAAAACCAAGACATGTAGTTTCACTCCGACATATTTCGGAACAACTTCTAGCGTTAGTGACTGTTACTTTGGCTGTAGACGGAGTTTGAATTACATAAACTGGTTTCAACGAAAATACAGCTTCTGCAAAAAGAGAAAACCCCGCATTAAATCCAAGATTTATTAAAGACGGGAGGCACATTACCTATCCCGTATGGTAAACACTCTGTATCATGTATATGACACCTGTAGGACATATCTGTGCGTAGCTATTTCCCACCTCGGTCTATGGTCCCTAACCAAGTTAGGCATCCCATGGACGGTATAGCTGTCCCCGGAACACATATTTCTTTTATACAGTTTACTGGAAAAGATAAATTTGTTGCCAAAACCATATCAAGAAGCTTACACTGTAAAATTATAAAATGTTATAAGTATAAATTGGTGTTTTTACCTATTGACGTGTGGCTAAACTTATTAATTATAGTAATACTCCATTGCTATACACAGAGCTGGAATACCGTCAATTAATTAAGGCAGTTGCCATTATGTGTTTGGTGAATCTGTCTTGACAGTAAATAAACTCGATGGGCCAAAAATAATCAGAATGTTAAGACACGGCATAGTGTATCATTACTTATTGTTAAAGGAGACAAGTGTCCAACTCAATATTATTCACAGTCTTCGACACTGCAAATACGACTTATTGGCTAGTTGGCCAATTTAAATCAACATCGATGTTGTTATCTTACCGTTAAAAGGGATTGGCACACGAATCGCTTGCCAAAGACTGACATTCAATTTGGACTCTTCGCGTATTTCGCCGAACATAACTGATTAAACATTGCAGAAGGAACAGAAACGATTGAATGTAGATCAGTTTATATACATCCATATTACATTGCGACTCATTTGTGTCCATTTCTATGTGCCAAAGAATAGAGATGTATCTCCTTTAATAGGGTTTACGTCTCGAGGATATGTGCCACCAGCTAAAGTTTTGTTTATTTAATATTCCTCTGAAACCACACAAAAACACCTTTAAACAGTTGAATTCCAAACTATTGTCTTGTTGCAATTTCTGATACAAAAGAATCGTATCTATATTTAATTTGAAATCGACAAATTTAATCACTGTTGTTTTATGCTTTTCCAACTAGCTATTGTGTTTTGTATATATAAAATACAACCCAAGAACAAATCAATAGGGAGCCAAAATGGTAAACACGACTATTACCAATGCCATTCGCTTCTTAGTCAATACGTAGAACCAACCAATTGTTAAGATTTAACATGTACTTACATGTTTATGTCTCAGTGGTTTGACGCAATGAAACGAAATGAAGACAACAAAACTTAAATCAATATCGATTTGGAATGATTAGTTTTAAAATTAAGTCGTCGCGTGAGCTGCACGACAACCAACGTAATGTTAAAATGTAAATGTTGTTAGATATAGAAGCTGAGCTTGTTTCATGGAATTCAAACTATATGTAGCTTCAACTGAATATTACCCAATGATTGCGTGTAAGCATCAAATTAGTGACTATATCGAAAATGGGTACATTAATACATAGGCGCACGGGCCCGATGCATGTTGAGGGGGCAGACATGAAATGCCCGAAAAAACTCCCGTTTCTGCAAGATGGGTGCCGAAGCTCTAGACTGCTGACCAGAAACGCTTCCTGACGTTCCGTGACAATCTACGTGGTTTTGAAGCAGATCTTGATAATGTTTTGGCCAGATTTGTAACCATGGATGAGATTTATTTCAAAAAATGAAATGGAACTAGCCGGTCGTCATTTTTTTTCCAGTAATGAAGACATTATGTCAGCTCTGAACGACTATTTCACGGGTGACTGAAGAAAATTTCTTCCTGACCGGCATTCAAGCCTTGCTATATCGTTGGCAAATTTAACCGCTGTAGATACGTTTTTCTGTTATTCTAGCCCATGAGTTAAGCATCTAGCCTGTGAGTTAAGCATCTAGCCTGTGAGTTAATATAAAATAAAATAAAACCAAGCACGAACAATCCAAACCATTAGACAAAATTCGAAGTCCTAAAAAAACAACCCCCAAAAACAAAAACCCAAAAACGGTATAGGCAAAACTTCGTAATCAACAAATGGACTGTTCACCGTGTACAAAATACACGACAAACAGTGGTAACAGGTGTCCCGAAGAGTAAGCTTACCCTGCCTGGCGCCACACTCGCCATAGCGGCATCCAAACCTTAATAAGACGAAATCTCAGTAAAATAGCGTGATAGGCCAATGGACTATCCGTATGCAAAATGCACGTGACGTGATGAACAGTGTTAACGATGTACGATTAAATATATCTACAATAATAGCCGAAAGAGACAAGCAACTTCAAAGTTGTCCAATGGTTTTGCAACCGAAATCCCATTCTATGCCGACTTGAATACTGATTATCTAATCAGAATATTGCAGGTACATTCTCAAATAATAATAGATGCCAAAAAAATGTCGCACCAAGCAGTAGCGCCGGATTAACCACAGGACACGGTGGGGCCGACAAAAATCCCAGTTGCGCAAAAGCGTTGTGAGCATGGTTAGATCGAGGACTCCATCTGCTAGTGGCGTTGATCGGGCCCTCCATCGGATTTTCAAAGCCCTGGGCATTGGGACCCCTTCAATCCATGGTGGTCCAGTGTTACGACTGACATCCGAGAATTCGGTGTAATCGGGCGATGCCGTGTCGTACTTTCGACTGGTATTCGTTTTTCTTGCTTTTTGGTTTATTTAGAGGAGAACACTACTTGTGGAATCAAGGTAACTTTGAATTAGATTTGGCGTAGTTACATTCATATGTGTGGAATAATATTGCTTAAGTTCTGGTCACTTGTGTTAGGTTGGGACCCCCCCATGCTCTAGACCAGGCCCCAGGGGCCCCCACCATAGTTAACCCGGCGCTGCCAAGCAGAGCGGCTCTAGACAATAATTAGGTTTTAAACCATAATCAATTTAAGACAAATTCGCGGCATTCAATTAAAAAAAAATAAAATTAGTGGTTCATTAGATAATATAATTATTTTTGTTTCACTTACCCGTTTGCCCAAAAAGTCAGTTAGGGGGGCAGGTAGCCCCCCCCCCCCCCCAAACTCGTACGCCTATGTCTTGATATCGTTTATCGCAAAAGTGGATAATGGAGACTTTTTTTATTATCGTAGTAATGATAATCGAGGCTGGCCTAAAATTGAATCGCTAATATCTCAGTTTCAAAGTGAAGCAATTTGACCGAAATTTTCAGCATATTCTGTTTTCAATACCTATATTTTGACTATTGACTATTTTATCATAGTAAAATTAGTGGTTCATTAGATAATATAATTATTTTTGTTTCACTTACCCGTCTGCCCAAAAAGTCAGTTAGGGGGGCAGCTGCCCCCCCCCCCCCCCCCAACTCGTACGCCTATGTCTTGATATCGTTTATCGCAAAAGTGGATAATGGAGACTTTGTTTATTATCGTAGTAATGATAATCGAGGCTGGCCTAAAATTGAATCGCTAATATCTCGGTTTCAAAGTGAAGCAATTTGACCGAAATTTTTAGCATATTCTGTTTTCAATATCTATATTTTGACTATTATAGCAAGGACTAACAGTTCTTTATCTAATCTTACCTTTATATAATGCCCCTTTAATGTGTGGTTATATAACTATGACGCTAGTTGTCAACAAAACATCTTTAACTGCATGAATGTGGTAAGAAACAAGTGATCTATTCATAATCTAAATTCTCATAAAATAATTTTAACCAGTGGCCGCCAGGCAGGATACGCCCACATTTTGCAAGAGATGAATAGAGAACACGCTATAAAGAAAGGCAATTTTTCGTTCAATCAGGGGTCAACCGTCATTAGGGTGTAACGGTAATAAATTTAAATTAGATAAAATTGTGACTTCTAGAGGGTCCACAAGCTAAAAACGTGATTTTTCTTATAATCAGGGGCCATAATCCAGGAAGTTACAGTCCGATATGCGCAAATATCGACAGGAACGAAGATTTGTGGATTATAATCATACAAGTTTCATCAAAATCGGATAAAAAGTGTGACTTCTAGAGCGAGCGAGCGAGCGAGCGAGAGAGAGATAGAGCGAGCGAGAGAGAGAGAGAGAGAAATGGGTTTAACGTCCACTCGACACAAACTAGGTCATTTCGGGACTAACACATGGTTTTTTAATTTTATTTCAATAATTCGCTTGCGCGTAGGAGTCTTTAGCAGTGGGAGGAAACCGGAGGACCCAGAGAAAACCCACGAGGTTGAACAGGCGACCCTACTCCTTGCCACGTACAACCGGGGATTCGAAACCACGCCAGTTGACTCAATGACAGACTTTATGGTACAGCGCGCACGAGCTAACCATTTAGCCACCCAACCCCCCACTTCTAGAGCGTCCACAACCTTGATATTGCACACTTTTACACTATTTGCGTACAATGCGCAGCAATTTTGTCCAGCTGTTTGGGTCAGATTTCTACCAAATTTTAACTCAACCTTCATTGATGTGTAACGGTGATATATTTAAACGTTTTTTATTTAAAGTTTCATCAAAATCGGGTCAAAATTGTGGCCTCTAGAGGCTCCACAACCTTGATATACCACTATTTGCGTACGAGGGGGTGTCCATTCTTTCCGGTAGTTTAGTCCGATTTTCACGAAATTCAAACATTTTTTTAAATCGGATAAAATTTGTGACCTCTAGATGGACCACAAGCTAAAGACGCGATATTTCGTACAATCAAGGGACATAATTCAGGAAGTTACGATCCGATATGCGTGAATATCGACAAAGAACAAAGATCTTTGGGTTATAAACATGTATTTCAAGTTTCATCAAAATTGGACCAACATTGTGTCCTCTAGAGGGTCGACAACCTTGATATACCATATATTTACACTATTTGCGTATGAGGGGCGGCCATTTTGTCTAGCAGTTTTGGTTCGATTTTCTCAAATGTTTTTTTTTTAAATTGGATAATAATTGTGAACCACCAGCTAAAAACGCGATGTTTCGTACAATCAGGGGCCATAATTCAGGAAGTTACAATCCGATATGCGCGAATATTGAAAGGAACAAAGATCGTTGGGTTATAAACATGCATTTCAAGTTTCATCAA